CAAAAGACTCCCCATTAGCAACCTGTGAGACGGCCACGTTCGTGAACTTTGTGCAATGATAAAGGGTTAGATGACGTTTGTATTGAAGCCTGATTGCAAGTGATCTTGGCTGACAAATGATGCGTCTTTCTTGAACCAGCGAAGGTAAAACACAAATGCTGCCCCAGCGATTAACGCGCCAAGCAAAAACGTTCCAAATGCCAAAAGGCCAATCTCCCATCCTTTCATACCGTAAGCTGCAAAATGAACAAGAAAAAAGTTATGATTAGTCAAGCGATATTTGATTGTTGTCCGTCAGTCGATAGTTGTTTATAGATTCACAAGGTCGGTGTCTTTTTATTAGTTGGTATTTCTTCTAAGGTCCTCTACGATTAGAGGAAAAGCGAAAAAAAACAAGCCACAACCAATTTGACGAACTGCAACGTTTTTGTCACTTAACATTTTAAGGGAAGATAAACATTTGTGAAATATATTAGTAATGCTCTTTCTTTCAAAGAAATTTGTCTCGCGTGAACCTCCAATTCCGACTACTACTAAACCATAAATCAGATATGCTGCACAACATATTAAATACGATGAGAGCAGTACTTAAAGGCATCTACAAATCCCACAGTAAAAAACTCAGCTTAATGTTTTCCTTCGTGTTCTTATCTTCTTCTCCCCAACCCCATCTTACCTGTAGTGGTAGTGGTAGTCGTGATGGTCGTGCCGTTGCACGATAACTTGGTGACGTCATTAACTGTGGCTAGAATTGTGTCAGTGGTCTTCTGTAGGAACTGAAGCATTTCAGACGTCACATGACTCAGGCTGTCACAGTTTTTGTGGTAACACGATTTCATGTAGCTTCTTTGGTCAGCTGTGTCACTGAGGAAGATGGCGCTCATTGACGGATCATGGTCCCAAAAAGACACGTGATCACTACGTAAGAAATCCCCAAGCAGGTTATATTCCCGATCGGAGAGTTTTGATGGCTGTCCTTGAAATGGAAGGTTTACTTGATACATTGCAGTTTTGTCCCCGAGAGCTAAGTGAAGGATCGAAAAAGGTAAATGAAAATCACACTATTCTATTATGAAATTAATCAATTGCGGGTAAATTTTTTAAAAACCGTCACAGCAAGTCTTCTTCAACTTGGAAAAATCCGGAGTTATTATAATATTTCGTTTTGGTACATCGCGCGTTCTCTGATCGCTTAAGGAGACTATCGTCAAACTCCTGAAATCCAGACCAGAGAAAGATGCTATTCTCGTCACAAGCGTGGGGCAAATGATATAGATTTGAGACCCGTGAGGAATCGAACCCAGACTCTCGGACTCTATAACCGGAGCCACAGAGACTTTATGGTGATAGCTTCAGATCGATGTAGCACTCGTCCTGCCTACTGCAAGGATCTACAACGTCAAATGCGTCATGTGAGTAAATATAACATTCAGAGAAAAATTTACATATCTTAAAATATCATTGCACGACTAAATTTTAAATTTTTCTTCTTTTACGGGTAAACAATAATAATAATGAAAAAAACTCAATGATAAAAATAGAAGGCATAAGGATTTGATATTACATTCAAGCACCTTCAGATTTAATTGTAGTATTCTGAGCCTTAAACTCTTCTTTATGTTCGTTTAATTGCGATTCACCGATGAAGATCAATCCGTCATTTATCAATTAAAAAAGGCGAATGATTTTATTCTCGTTTAATTTTAAGTAGGGGAGATTGCTACACTGCGAGCATCTGGTAAGGTAAGAAAGCCGAGGCAGACGACCGGATGGCTGCTTACCAGATTTCACTTGACTGTAATGATACCAGAATGAGTTCAGAAGCGCTGCATCATCCACTTGTCGTCCAATCATGGAAAGGAAATCCCCTCGAAACTCGTCCTCTTTGATCTGATGGTAAATTTCTGGTGCGAGATGTTCTACTCCAAATGGGAGAAACTGCGAATGAGGCGTAGTGTTATAATTGAACATTGTATCCATGATTATCGCTCCCTGAAGCTTTCCGTTTGAGTTTAAGGACCCGTTGTAAAATTGGGTGAAATTTGCGACAAAAGCGCGACTTCCACAGTCGATAGAGCCACAAGCACATTCGGGCACGACGCTTTGGTTGGAACAATCAAATTCCCATTCTTCAAAGTCAAATGCAACGAAGATAACGCTGAAACTACGCGTACAGCTGGAGAAATCTGGAAAAAAGAAAAGCAGAAAGTAAAGAGCGTAATAGACCCTTCTTGCGAACCACTGAGGTCCTGTGAAAAAGCCGGCTTTATATATTATACGCGCTGCTGCACCGACGGCGATGCGGAGAAGAAAAGGAAACAGTCCACACCTGCCTGTCTCTCGCTGTTTTACTGATAGTGCCACAACAATAATCAGTACACGCTTATAGATAAAGTGAAAGTAAGATACATCTATTTTGTTGTCTTAGTGTGAAGATCTTCGGCCGAAGATAACAATGATCTTTCAGTTCATCTCTGATCCGGTTATCATTTTTCGTTACCATATTTGTGAGTGTGTGCGAAGCTACCTTCAAGTTGCCTGAGCGCACTTTTTTGTCCATAAACGCAAATAAAACCTTTAAACAGAATATTCAAAACATCATTCCAAGTAGACAATCACGTGACAAACCATACCTTTGGCGAGCTGCTTAGCAACCTGAAGCATAGCAGCCACGCCTGAGCCATTATCGTCACTACCATGTAAGGTAGTTCGCATCGTGTCGTAATGAGCACCGATCAGAAACAACCTGTCGTTTGGCGAGCCAGCGAGTTTGCCAGGGAGCATTCCGATTATGTTTTCTCCAGTCGCGTACTTAAAAGGGAAGACAGAATTTTCACAAACAAATCTTAGAATGATTTGAAAAAATACGTGTTTTGCTAGAATGGGTCATTTAAGAGGCATCAATTGACTTGGCCATTTCGTTTGAGGTGAAACGGTTCACCTGATCGACGGTCAGACTAACACACTGGCTGACTCACTGACTGTCAACGAGGCTGGAGAATTGGCCGGGGTGTTCCTGGGCAAGACACTTCATCCCTAACAACGCTTCTCTCCGTTCTGTAGTATAAATGGGTACAGATAAACTATCAGGTACACTTCGGGAGTAACCGTCGGCGATCAAGAGAATATCAATTGTTGATATTCTCTTGTCTACGACGGAATAACTTTACATAAGGGGGGGGAGGGGAGGGGGAAGAGTTAGAAACAGGATCAAGTGATAAGTAGCATCACCAAGTGGGCACTGGGTTTGTGAACAGACGCCGTAATTTTTCAGGAAATAACATCCTGGTCTTCATTATAAAACAATTGACTAAACAAGTAAACTAAGTAAACATAAACCAGAAAACAAAGGATAGTCACCTTTGGATAATCTGGTTCAAATTTTTCAAGCCACGTGACAAGGCCCAAATCCTGGAAAGTTTGATGAATGAACTCCTGCGCTTTCTTCTTTCCTTCGGGATTAGTCACGTGATGTCTGCTATGGTTGAAATGTTTCAAGAAAGCCAATAGTGATTCGGATCTGTCGCTGTATTCATTTTGAGTGGCATCTGTCAAAAAAAAATTAATTTCGGTCTTTTCAGTACTCATTACAGAAATGCTCACACTACTAATTGTTAGGCTTAGAAAGTTTCCGAAACCCGTTAGCGCTTGCGTCCTTCTTTTGTCAACAGTAGAAGGTAGTGAAAACTCTGAAAATATTATGAGAAAAGCTCACCCCTGCAAATAAAATACCTTTTAAGTTACTATACATATAAACTTTGAATCATATCGTTTGAAATCAGCTGTCCGTTTAATCTTATCATTTGCATTCGACCAGGCGAATAACTATGGATATCTATGGTGGATGTTATGACCTGTCATTCCCTCTTCCCCTCTAGGGGGTAGTTATCGTTGTTATCAAAAATTTCTGTCTGTAATGTGTTTTCAGACATCAACTCACTGTTTCTTCGAAGCTTATATAAAACAATTCGATACATGTGTCGTAAACGGACCACAGTGCGGAATGGTACGGCATCTTGGTAAATGTGGTTGATAAGAAAGTGCCCTTTTTTAATACTTTCTCCATATCTAGGTACAATAATGATGCAAAGAGCAAGAGTGATAGCTGCGAAAGTGAAAATGTTTCTCATTTTGCCGATGGTGATTATGAAAATATTCAGAAGATGCTGGTTCGCGAATCGATTCCTCGAGCGATCAGGGAAAGTGTGTCTTCCCTGACGGAAGTTGTGTTAATCAGATCGGTTCGTTGTGGAGTTTGTTACATTATTAATAAGATACATGAAAAATTACTCAGTTCTGATTGGTTAAGATAATGCAGTTTTCAGGCAGTTCAGTGCAGAAAAGGGTTAACTCGGTGCAAAGAAGTAACAAATCAGTCTGAACAATTCCTTGAACATTTTTGCGCCTTAAGATGTCAAAATATCATTGTATATTACTGTTTTCATCCTACGCGGCGGTTTTGACCGAACGCACGATGTCACTTGCAGGGATTGAATAAATTATTTTTGCATTTGATTCTGCATAATTGTGATAAGCTATCTCGTATTTTTTCATGTATATTATTAATACATAATCACATGATTTTTCTCGTACACTTTTGAATAAATAAGCACTTGTAAGTTTTTTCAAAGACCACAAATTGCACTCGCCCTACGGGCTCGTGTAATTTTGTTAGTCTTATTTATTCCAAATTGCACTCGAAATCATGTGATTACCTATACTGAACGTTTGCGAGCTGATCTAAAGAACTACTTTATTTTGTTTCGGAATAAAACAACAGAAATGATAACAGAAAGAAACGATGACAATTGAGTGCCTTAAATAAAAATGAAAGCTAAGTTTTTCGTTTGTTTCACGATGTAGTCACGTGTGATGTAGATCGCCTCTCACCATGAGTGCCTCTCACCATGATGAACTTCACCAAGAAGATTATATGTCTGATAAGTTATGGGAAGGCATTGGAGGGAGGGGAGGGGGAATGATGATTACTGCAATAGAACTATCTCCCACAGAATCGGCAAATAGCTCCCACCCTCCCTTCCCATGCCCTTTCGTTGTGATGTTTAATTTATGCTGTCTTTCCCGGAAAACGGACTTTAAATACTAAATTTACTCTAGCACCAGTTTCCGAGAAAGCGATTAATGTTATCTTGTGATGCATTTCCGAGAATTTTTCGTGTAAAAAAAATTAATAAATGAATATTTTTAGTACCAAATCAAGGCAAAAGAGAAAGGAAACTAGAACTGCCATCATGCAAATTTCTTATCCAATATTGTATATGAACTGTCTCTGATGTAGCCTCACCGATATATCTTGAGCGTGTTATGAAGCTTTTTGTGTAAATACAAACATCATTACACTTCAAATTTGGCACATTCTACAATAAACAGGCTGATTGGGAGCACTTATAATCTACAGTTTCAGTTCCTACAGTGAATAAAAGGAATTGAACCTTAGAATAATTTACAACGGTCCAAGTATAAATATTTCAATGCAGTTTGCAGGTTTGCATACTGGTTCCCGAGGAGTAATTTCTGCCGACTATCAATTAGCTTGCACTGAAGCTTTTTTGCCCCATTTTGCCAAGGAAGACAGGATTAACTTTCAAGGACGTAAGAATCTATTCCCTTACTGGCTCGATTGTTTGTGCGAGAATGAGGAATTGTTTCTGTTTATTCCGTTGAATTGTTTGTACGCCAGTTATTAATAACTTATCTGCAGCCGCCGTCCATTTTCATAATAACAGCGTTGCACATGTCTATCATTTTTGTAAGCGTCTTAGAACAAGTGGCATTTAGCATTTTAGTACCTCAGCTGTCATTGTGACAAGGTTGTAGGAGAAGAAGGTGCACTATTTAGTTTAGTGGGGCGAAACGAGACTCGAAAAGTTTAAGGCGAACTCGAACTGTAACAATTGGATCAGGAGCAGAACTCCTGCAGTCCTTGATCGAATCGAATTTTGAAAAAACATTTTCTATTTACCGAAAGCACATGAAAATTAAGACTACAGATTTCGACGGGAAGCTTTAATTTTTTTCGGAAAAGCTCTATTTTGTAGGAAATGTTACTCTCATAGTTAAATTTAGCCAACTGTTCTGACGTTTCCGTGCTCGTGCAACAGGCCAGATAAACACTGAGGGCAAGTTTTGAAATTCTTCAAATAAAATATTAGTTAAGTTACTATATTATATTTTCATAAGAAATGGTGTGAAATCCAAAACAAATGTATAAATGATTAGTTTCGGTTACGAAACTGTTTTGTTGTGTCTGTTGGGGCATTTCAGAAACAGTAACTTATGGTTTTTGTGAAGCTGAACTGATCCGCCATTTTGTAATCAAAACTGGCTCTTCGAGTTCTTGCAGTCTTTCGAACAGACAAAGCGGAGAAGGCTAAAGCGGCTGTGTTTTAAAATAAATTCTTAAGATTAATGGCTGTCGACAATTAGCCTTAAAACTAACACATATATTATTTTGCTGGCTATAATTCATTTCTGTGGCAAACATGAGCCCTTATTAACTGATAATTCAAAACCCCTGAGACGCCTGACTACATAAAAGCGGAGAGAAGCGTATGACCAAAAAACGAGCACTTGTAGAAGCTTATTTTCTTTTCTATGAATTTTAAATATAGTTTTTAATCTTCTATAGCTGTGAGGCACTTCTGCTTTCAGCGGGATCACAATCTTGAGTGTATGCGTACGAAGGAAGAGAGATCTGCTAGCCACGTATGACGGAGAACTGCTACCGAATAAACTTGAGATAGCTTACACAGCCAGGTTTTCAGAACTACACTATATTTACCTTGAACTTCAACAGAAACTCGAAAAAAGTTTTAGAATGGAATATGCGACATCTTTCACTATCATAGGAGTCAGTTGAATAGAAGCTGTTACCAAAATCCCTATTTATAAGTTCCGATGAATGCGCGCTGTGTGTCAAAGTTTGGTTCAAAAGAAGGACATAAGCTTTTACAAAGGAAAATGCTTTAAACGGTTCATCGACTATTGACAAAGAAAACCAGATTCGCAACAAATCGAAACTTAAATCATAGATGTGGAAAATCTTATTGCAAAACTGTCGAGTCAATCCACTAGAGCAGATAATTTGCCAACTGGAACTGAACGTTAATCAACTAGACTTAAAAATGAGAAATCCGCAAGATAAAGAACATTTCTTACCTGTGAGGACAATAGATTGAAGGGCACACAAAACCGTAAGGAACCAAACGCTCGCCATGATATTCGTTGTCTACATTAAAAAAAAAAGAAAGAGCAGAAGGCATCTGTAATTTAATTGCATCAATACTCTGACGTGCGTTAGCCGATCTCGCGTATTCTTTTTAAGGTGGGAGGGGAGGGCAAAAATGAAGTGAAAGTCTCTCTTGAGACGACAGACTCCTTGACCATAGTACCCTTGGAATGGAGTGCGTTACCCCGTCTTTCTCGGAAAAATTGTTTATTTTTGGCAGCTTTCTGAGAATGTCAGATCGTATAGGTCAGCCTCTGTGGTTGCTATGCCGCTCTGCTATCGGCTCTTCAGGAATTTATGCGAATAATTCACGAAGATGCCATTTTCCCCAAATTCCATAAACTGGTTTCCGTTTCAGATTGATTATTCAATATCGAAAGACGTTCAACTACAAAGCTCTCCTGATAATCTTTGCGGGTAAAACATTTTTATAAGGGATTACTTTCAATGAAGCCGTGAGTTTCCAGGAATTTGCGTGATGTACATGCTAGATGGCAAAGACTAATCCCGCGACTGTTAGTTATTTTCGCCTTAACGCGGTTACTTTGCTGGATGATTACTTTTTTCCTAAGTCTCATGGACAAGCCAAGGTTAACTTTATCGAGAGAGAAAGATGATCTTAGTTGAGGTAAATTTCCTGTGTTACTTGCGTGAAGGGGCTTAAAAACAAAAGGCATCGACCGGGGATTTGAACCCATAACCTCTGTCTCGTTCGCAGCAGTTTTCGGAATATCATAAAGAGTACGTGACGTTCCGAAAAAGATTATGAACGCGAAGCGAAAATCTAAGAAATGAATTGTGAAGTCGTGCACTGTAAGTTGGGTCGATTTTTAAGCTCAAAGAACACGATGAAACAACATTGAAGAAAGTAAATGAAATATAAATACTTCACAGCATCTCACGAACACACCTCTCGAGAACTTTGTAAACTTGTCCCGGACTTGTTCCTCAGTTTCTTCCTTCCAAACACTTCTTTTACTTGATTTTAAAACTATTAGCTATTTAGGTTTGATTTAGTTATTCGTTTTTCAATAGCCTTTAGCAAAGAAGTCCGAAGTTATTTAGGTTTCAGCCGTCAAGATACGTTGCAAATATTGAGTTTTATACCTTGAATTTCATTATTTCACAGTTTAACCCTTTAAGGCCCATTTCCAACCTTGATGCAACGTGGTCGTTTGTTTTTGTTTCGAACCATCGCTTTTGTTTAAATAGCTCCTCTGATTGGTCAGTTATTTTTACCTTGTCACGTTGTCTCAAAATAGCTTGGTGAGCTTGTCAAAATAATTCTGTTTAAAACAGTACTATACGTTTTAATCCGGGTGGGGAACCAGATGAAGGCAGTAAACGCTTATGGATCGGTTGTTGCTAAAGAAGAACACGAAAATCCTTGCGAGTTTATTCCGAGGAAGGTGAAAATGTTGATTCAGCACGTTTTCATTCATACATCAATTTTTTTTTCCTTGAAGTTTGTCATCCTTGTTAAATAAGACCGAGGGTCAGTTGAAGCTTCCTGCCCGTGGAGAGGAGCTTGCCCTCGCAAGAGTGGTCAAGGTTGTTGTGCAAATAAGAATTGTAATGCAAACTGTCTGTGTCGCCAGCGTTCTTGCAATGAAGTGACTAAACGTTTGGCTGCCGGACACGGTCTGAAAATAATTAAACGTCCGGCAGTCCGATATTTTTCCATATTTCTCTTCGAAATCCAAAATATTTCTACGAAAATGTTCTACCTTTATTTACAATCCTCAAGTGCTTCCAGACAGCCAAAATTTCGAATTTGATGTTTTTCGCCAATCCTGTATACAGTCTATACAGAGTACTAAGCCATCTAAGGGTTTGACTCCTATAAACTTTTCAATGGCACGGCTAAACACGGTCCTCAAATAACTTCGTATTTCTCTATGAAATATACCAAGTTTCCTTGGAAAATATTCTACTTTCATTTACAATCCTCAAGCACTTCTAGAAAGTGAAAAAATTCGAACGTTGTCCGTTTCGCCGACCCCGAACATAGAGTACGAAGAGATCCAAGCGTGACACTTAGAAAATTTTCTTCGGACTCTATCGGACACGATATTCGAATAACTAAACGTCCGGCAGTCTGATATTTTTCCATTTTTCTCTTTGAAAGATACCAATTTCTATTGAGAAATATTGTATCTTTATTTAGAATCCTCAAGTGCTTCTAGAAAGTGAAAAAATTCGAACGTTGTCCTTTTCGCCGACCCCGCTGTACACAGTGTAGGTACAGATCCAAGAAAATATTTTTCTACGGATTCTACCGGACAAAATTTTAAATACTCTAAGGAAACTGTAAAATGACGAATGGCGAATGTATTTACCGTAAAACAGACGACTATATGTCCAGGATGGCTCCCAAGAAAGACGATTTTAGAGGGTTTTCAGTAATCTAGGAATTTCGGTGTTAAAGGAGATTGGGTCGCGGCGTGCGTTGCATCAGGGCTGAAAATGGGCCTTTTAACTCCAAGGATGTGATTGCTTATTTTCCCTCCAGCTGCCACATATTTTCTTGCAAATAAATTGCGAGAATTTGGTGATAGATTAAGAAAAAAATTGCTTCTTGATAAGGTTGAGTATTCCTATGACCTGTTTGCTGGATAATGTTTGAATATCATGGGGAGAAGTTACATTTTAATCACATTTGATTGATGCTTTTGATCACACAATAAATATTTGACCATCACGAACAAATAGCAACATACCACGTCTTGGGAACCATAACGTTAATCTCAAGACAAAACCAAATGATCTTTACCGCTGATCTAGGAACGCGTAACACTCTCTGTTAGGTTGTCACGTGTCAGTTCCCTATAGATTTTCTGATTTAAACACCATTTATTGGCAGATTTTTTAATATATGATTTACAAACAAGATGGCTTCCTGTCTTTTTTATTACAATTATCGCCTTCTCCTTTTTCTGGTAGCAGCTTCTAATGCTTTTTTGGCGCTGTACCCTGCCACCCCCGTCAACACTCCGGCTGCTATTGCCCTACTACCGGTTGTTATCAAGGCTGGAATAGGAATAACGGCCACAAGCGTAACCAGACCACCACTCTGTCTCTTAATCCGTCTCCTTTTAATTTGTCTTGATTTTCCTTTGATCAACTTTGATGTTAATCACGGGTGAATTACTCAAGAAATAAGTTCTCCGCCTCCTCCTTCAAAATTCTCTAAGTGAAACGGGGATTGAATTTCATTGGCCCGGTTGGAAGTTATATGGGCCCTGTGACTCACCTTCTCACAATCCTCTTCCTCATAATTCTCCGCCTCGCAATTCTTCTCCTCATAGTTATCCTCCTTCTCCTCTCAAAACTTCTCATGCATGTGTTTCATATTTTCATGAATGCACAGCTTGTCTTTTAAGAACAATGTCTAGATCCACTCTTAGAAATAAAGTACTTTGTACGATTGATGAGTGGGATAGAGGAGGAGATATAGGGAATCAACTCCGTCAACCTAACGCTTGACATTACAGTGAGTCTCTGTTCATAAACGGCACCAACCTCCTCAACCAAATCTCAATAAAGTAGTCACAAAACAGTCTAAAATAAGGATTTCCCAATGTCATCCCAGTAGATGGCGTCGTCTTCCGTTCTGTCGGAGATGGAAGAAGTCTTGAAGCAATGCCTTACCATTGCCTCGTTTTACTGTTGTAACAAACCACTTGGGATGTTGAGAGAACACGAGAAAAATTTTTAAAGCACGAACCGAATGTTCTGTTGTTCATGTTCTACTAACGTCACGCCTGGTTTTTATGTCGGTAGAACGGTAGAAATTACGGTCTATTGCTTGGATAATGTACTTAGTTTTTCCAGCAAGGGAATGCTCAAATATCAATAAAGTCAGTACTTTCTGAGTCACTGGAGGAGTCTGAGCTGTCCATTAAACGTTTTCTCTCAATGAAATTCGCGGATCTTCGCGGCCATGCAACCACATGCTAAAGAAAGCTTAACCTATGCGAACAATTTCATAGACATTGTAATTTGCTGCCGGATCCACAGGTAGTTACCTCTGTTATTCCATCTGGACCTGAACGTTTTATCATCAGCACGGTTAATGGATGGTCTTTCTTTAATTTCCAGCCAAATCTGACTGGTGATGGAAGACTCAGCATCGAATTCAGGAAATTGTTTAAGCCAATGAATCAGCTGAAAGTTGGCCCTTTGAATAAGGTGCGACAAGCTGTCAGACGTCCCCACTCTTGCTCCTCTCACAGAATAAGAAATAACTTACGTCATCAGAACAAAATTTGACCAATTTCAATCCTGATTCCACTGGTACCATCCAACATCTTGCAGCATGTTGCTACAGTGTTCATACACGCGTGTAATAGGGTGCGCGTTGTACAACGTTGCAAGATGTTTCAATGAAATGTTGCGTGCGTTGAGCCTGGCCTTAACGTTAATAGATGTTTATACCAAGAAAGAAAAATATATTTCTAGATCGTTCGATCGATCGATATTGATTCCTCTTCCTGTAAAGTTATATGATATACGGAGTTCAGAGACATATGATAAACATTTTAAAGATAATTTTGGTTTTATCAACTGAGTTGTAAATTAACCAAAAGAGTAGCCTGTGGGCACTTCAATTAAAATCAGTGATGGTTTAATTGATTTTTTTTTGCGGGCCATGCCTTAATTGATTGTTAAAGTCGTTAATTTTAGAAGCATTTAGGCGAACACTTTCTTTTTAAGTTCAATTCTTACAAGTTGCTATGTATAAAGCTGACGTGCATCGAAATCTCATAAAAGTCATGATTAGCGCTTTTGAACCAAATGAGGAGGACGAAAAGCTTTTGAGATCGGCGGAATTGGCCTTAAAAGAAAACAGATATCGGACGCCGTGCTGATTCGAAAAAATATTTAAATTCGCTGGCCTGTGACGCAAGGAGCAGCTGGTGAAAATCTTAGATAATTTCGTCTTGTGAAATGAGTTGATAATGTAAACTGGCCACCGTAAAGAGTTTCTTTTAGTTGACGTTTCGAGCATCAGCCCTTCCTAAGGGCGAACGCAGAAATTGTTGGTTGCATTTATTTTATATAGCAGAAAACGGAGCTTCGATATCGGTGGGTACGTACTGGAGAAAGCAGTAGCAATTCGAGGAATAATTTTTTTTCCATAGCTCAGATACTGAATCCATTCTGTTTGGAAGTTAGAGCCACATATAGACATCCTAAAGTCGGCTTTGAGATTGGTTGTATTGGCGTTTTGTTGACTTAATGTTTCTGTTTGTGCGTGTAAAGATAGGTAAAAAAACCTAAACTTCTTTGATAGCATTTGTCCTGTCCCCTAAACGAGAGATCCTGGAACAAATGTTAAGAAACCTTATCCGAATTACAAACCCATGTGGCTAGTTGAAAAATTTTCGACGACTTCTTAATATGGGAGAGGAATAGCAAAACATATGTTTATACACTCACGTACAGTTGTTTTATACAATAGAAAATTTAAATAAAATGACAATGCAGATTTGAACGAAATAAATATGGATCGACAAATTGAGTTGATAATGATGTGGATTGGAGGATTTGCACATGACTATTCAATCCAGTCCCTTTTACACAAATTGGCACCCACTCAAAATAAAAAATATTTTAAGCTAAATTCAGAAATGAAAAGTTAAAAAAAGGCAGGTTCCTAAAAAGACGTGGACGTTATGCTGTGACACCCACGTGAGACGGTGACGATATTTTCATGAAAATAGTTACGGTTTCAAAAACAAGTCCCCAGCTATAACTCTACCCATTTGTGTTGCCATGCATGTGGGAAATTGAGTCCTGTTGATGGAAACTGAGTTACCATTAACACATTGTTTTATGCGGTTAAATCTTTTCCCGTTTGCGTCATGCCTGCGGGAAAAGAAGACAAAACTTGCAAAACAACTTAACGGACTCTTTTTAATTTATTGTGTCTAGTATCTTATTCGCTTTTGTCTTTGCTGGTTCCCATAATAGGATACTCGAAATGCACCACCGGTAGTTAATTTTTTCATTTACGTTTAAACTAAAGAAGAGAGTATTCATTAACAACACGCAAGGAAAAAAATAAACGCCAGTTTTGTAGATCTCCTTGCTCGTTTGATTTCAGCGCAGTAAGAACTTTCGACGTTTTACCATTATCTTGTGTATGAAATTACAACGAAATACAGCTTCTGGAACGATCAACAGCAATTGTTTCCACATGTGGATGCCATTATGATATTGGATGATTTTTCTTATGGGGATAATAAATATCACATCTCTGTCGAAAGGACAGTCTTGCTTGAGTGAACAAAGCAAACTATGACCCGTTTCGTGTTCTATAAATTCACTGCTGCCTGAGGAATATGACAAGATTATGGAAATGTTCCAGAAAAAAAACGTCATAAAGTATCTCTTACTCAGTGAATGACATCCTAACAGCGCGTATTCATGAATTAAAGTCAAAAGCAGTATGAAATGTCGTGAAGTTTCCCTTATCAGCATGGTACGTGTTAATTACTGGAGCGATTTAACAGGTACCTGAACTAAGTGAATGGGTAAATAAGCTCGCTCGCAGATTTGTGCTTCATTTTCACTAAAGGGAGATAGTTGTTAAGATTACTCCGTGATAGAAAGTTCGCCTGCTTTGGCCAAGCCCTGAAGTTTTCATATCCACGTCTGGCCATAGCCAGGGTTAAAAGGCGGAAAGTGAAAACAGACGATATAGCGGAAATCTTTGGGTTAAATTCTTAGCCCCCTGGCCTTGCGCGCACGTGAGCTAACTTAACTGCAAACAGAGTTCATCCATAACTAACCACGCGGCTGGATTCATAGCAAAAGAGAATGAATTCTGTCGCGAACGAGACTGTCGAGTTTGAGCTGCCGTACTTCAAAGAGCCTCACTGGTTAGAGATCGTTCGCTTGACACTCGAGTTCTTCATCGCAACTCTCGGCATAGTAGGAAATGCCGTGGTATGCTTAGTCATAACTTTCCAACCCCAGATGCAGACCGTTATCAACTTCTACATTAGAAACCTCGCCATTGCAGATCTAGGAATACTTCTCTTCTCCTTCCCGCTAACGGTAATTAAGGAACAAGATCCATATCACTGGCCCCTGGGTGAATACTTCTGTCGGTTTCTGTATCCTGTCAATGATATATTTTACGGTGTTTCAGTGTGGTCCATAACCTTGATTGCCATAGATCGCTACAGAGCAATAGTTGGAGGCCGTATTCCTAAGCGAAATTCCCTCAATTTCAGATCAGCAAGATGGATGATTCTTGGCGTGTGGATAATGTCCTTCTTGGTCATCTCCCTGCCTTTGTATTTCGTAATGACGTTCATTGACCAGAACTCGTACATCGATTGTACTCCAATCTGGCCGAGCGCCGAGCGAGGAAATCTGGGAGAGATGCAACAAATCTACAGTATCGCGATCATTGTATTCTGGTATGTTCTGCCACTCACCATTATCGTTGGAACATTCCACAGCATTTCAGTAAAGCTCCGAGTCAGCACTAACTTTAACAGATCCATACAAGAAGAGTGTAACGAATCAAGCGAATCCCACAACGTTCGCAAAAGACTTCGTGAGCGACAAAACAGTAGAGCTAAGAAGCTTTTAACACCTGTTGTAATAGTTTTTGCTGTCACTATGCTTCCCGCTAATGTTTTCCGCCTCTCATTTATGTATTGGGAAGGAATTTCTGAGCACAAATACTTGTGGGTTTTTTACAATGTTTGCGTGATCTTCGTCATTGCAAACTCGTCGGCAAATTTTTTCATTTACTCCCTTGTGAGCGACGAGTTTCGCCAAAGTTTTAAGCGCCTCATTTGTCGTAATTCTAACTCTACTTCTCGTAGTACAACAGACAGAACTGTTCGAAGTCCACTTCACAGTCCTTTAAACCTAAGTCCTACAAATTTATACCCAACCAACACTGACAGACAAGAATAAGACGAAGGGAACTCCAGACAACTTCAAGAGCGAAATTCACGCGAGGTTTTGGCGACGACCTGCAGCATCCTGCTGACAAAACAGTGGGAAAGACGGATTCCTTTTAAAAGCTAAATATCTAAACGTACTCAAACATTTAAAATAGAGAAGATTTTGCTAATAGATGCGTCGAGCTTCAACGCTCTTTAACATTCGTTTTCAACGTGTTTGAAGGGCATTTTTTAATGGATAATTTTAGACATTTGAAGACGGGTATGACGCTCCCCGTGAATGGTAACACTATTATTGTTTTAGTAATGTTTTTTCTAGGTTTAATTTCATGAAGAAAATGTGTAAACGCTAAGATATGGCTGTCCAGCTAACAGCTGTCCTTGAAAACGAACAAGTTAAAAACGTGTGAAATAAAACGATTTTTATTGACAACTGAATCAAATTAACTTTTACTGTGTACATTTTGGCGTTATTCCGCCAACTGTCGAATCATTTTCATCCAAATTCATAAACCGGAATCTGCTTCTAGGCTCGATTTATGCAGAGGTTGAAGGTTGAAAACACTCCAGTGAAATACGTGACGGTAGAGGGACATGCCAATTTCGAGCTAGATATTTTCACGTTGTTGATAAGATACAAAAAAGAATGCTGCCACCTTAATGGTTAAGTTAAAGCTGTTGAAAAGCTGTGGAAAAGCTTTTATTTTCTGAAAGAACAGGTCCGTAAGAACAGGCCGTGTCTCTTTTTATGATGAATGCAAAATTAACAAAGAATAAAAAAGAATGGCGGGTGATTTACATGAGATGTCAAGACAAGCTTGTTTGACCAAACACTCAAGCCTAAATGTTTTTTTAAAAAGAACGAGACTGAAACCTATCAAAGTGGTTTCTAAAATTGTGTGCACTTAATTTTGTGATATCATTTGCCCTCACAGTCAAAGCATCATTGTTTAACATTCTGTTTTTTTCTTTCTTCAATGCCTGACCTACCATCCTTCTAAGTATCACGCATTTGTGCCAAGATTAGTTGCTTTTTGTCAGCCAACCTTGCAAGAAATTCCACCAGAGTTTACCGGTTCGAGAGTCTGAAACCACTTCTTTAAAAAGTCAAGACAGAAATCCAAGCAGTACCAGACAAAAAGATATGGCAAATAAGCAAGATTGCGAGAAATGAGAATATTGACGCTTGAAATTATGAAGTATGTTACTTCAGTGACCGATTATTGACCATCCCTTAAACTTGGGCTGGAGGTTTTAAAATCTAAAACGTTTTGACATCACAGATAAAGTCACTGTTGCCACATTGACCTATAAGCTTAAATTTTCTATATCTTCTCTTCTTCCCTCATTTTTATCCTCATACAGTTCACGTTAAGATTTTGGAACAAACATGACCATATACAAACATTCTTCTCTGACGCGAATGTTTTTAATCCATTTCACTTAGAGATTGCCAATGACTCAAGATTGGTAAAAACAACAAGTAAATTTGAATTTTATTCTTTGTCTCCATTTTTTTTTTTTTTTTTTTTTTTGCAAAACAAAAAGCTCGACTATTTGTGGGCTTTGCCTTTTCGCATCAGTCTGCCTTTTGTTCAATAGAGTTTCTGCCTTGGTCGACAGGTAGCGTGTTACCCACCGGAGGAATGCCAATCAAATTTACAGCTTGGACACGTAAAGGCATGTAAGCATTGTGGTACGACCTATTCGGAAAAAATACGAGTAAAATAAATCACCAGTAATTAAAACAATGGGAAATTTGCTTTCTGAAAAGAGGTAATCAGTTTTTTTTTTCGCTGAAGATTCCGGCAATAAAGCCTACATTTACAAATTAATTAAGGCACGACCTAGGTATGTATTAAAAACAACGTTTTCTAGTTTTCCAACAGTTTGTCAATTGTTGAATTGTGGTGAATGCGTCCCAAGGCTTACTTCGTCATATGAATTTAAATTTTTCGTGTGCTTGAAAAGTTATTTATCCCACGAAATGCGAACTTTCTGGCCGTATGTTAAAAAACTTATGCCAATCGTTACCACTGTTGTACAGGTAAAAGGTTTCTGCAGCAACTTGAAAGGGACACGTGGAACCTGAAGTGTTAATGAGCCAATTCAAATACATTTGAATACACTTTAATATAAAACGATACTGTAAATCTCTATTTGATCTGTTCTAAATTTGTCTCACAAAGAAAGCTAGAAGTCTATTAATTAAAAAGATAACGAGCCAGCTAATGTTAGACTGGCAAGGCCAAATAGTTTTTTTTATTATTTTATTAAAGGTCTCGATGAGATTAATAGTTGTTCCTAAAACCACAAAAAAAATTAAATGTTAGGCGTATAAAAATTGGGAAATTTGGAACGTTAGTAATAACAAAAGTTAACCGTAATTTTTTTCCTTTCAATCGCACGGAAAGAAATTAACCGTCAGCCGAAAAACGGCCAAATTTAAATCGCTAGCCTTGGAAACCATCACCCCATTGAGACTCTCTTCGTTAGATTTTTATTGAGAAATAACTTATGTAGCATTAGTGTATCATCATTTCAGATAAACAAGTGCCACCTTTAATGTGCGTACACTACACCTTTTGTCGACAGCTTCTCAGCTGAATCAATGTTTAGTTCTACTCAATACTGAGGACACTCCATTTCAAAAAATTTAGTGCATGATTGTTTATAAAGGACTTACTTTAGTCTGCGAACAACCGTATTTTTAAAGCTCGAGTTATTTAGGAAGCCTGTTTTATTTGCAAGGCTGACATTTCTGTTGCACATGTGGCATTAATTTGTTCGTTTTAGCGGGAAAGTTGTTTTCAAGCGGTTTTTATGCGGTCAGAATACCTTTACTGGTTTTTAAAGACCCAAATCTTTATTCTTTTTTTTTTTTCCTTTGGTGACGAAGACCACCCATGATCAATAGCTTGCCTGGTGGGTTAATTACCTATTAAAATGCATTTTCTAATTTCCTGCTGTTCTGATGACAAAAAGCATAAAAACTCATATCATCTTGACGTTTTTTTTCGTCATTTTTTGAAACCCGCAAAAACTAAAAATAGTCCTTACACGAGGTTGACATATTTCAACTTTGAACCAGTAATTCCCTTGCAAAAAGCTTCTGCGTCAGAAATAAAGCCATGATAGACAAAAGATGCAATAAGGAGAGAATTTTAAGCGCTTTCGTCGAAAAGAGAAGTGATGCGATAAATCATGAATTTTTCTGGAGCAAGGGACAAAGAAGAAAGAAACTTATACTCCATTCACATCGTTAAACACGGTTTAAATTTGTTGTCCACAAAGAAATTACTGAACCGATGTTTGACGTCAATGTCAAACGAATTTAGCACATTGAAAGAACAAGTCAGTGACCACTTGAATTCTATGGATGCTTCAGTTTTACGGTTCTCTGTTTCTGATGTTTATTCACTGAGTTAAATTGAAAGTTTAACTAAACATATTTTGCTGGTGTGACATTGTATGTCTCCCGTAAGAAATCGAAGTACTTTGCTATACAAGTAAAATGTACGGCCACCCGATATACTGCTGCAACGGGAGACCACGAGTTGATGTAATCTTGCTGAAGTAGTAACCCAAGTAAGAATAAGTCACACTGTAAGTGAGCTGGCTCAACTCACCTGATTATTATAAAGACAAGAAAGGAACGTGCTCTCCTTAATGCCCCATAGAGTTTACGCGTATTTTGAGGGTTCGTGTTGGTTTTACCCCCGTGGGCTTTTTTCGCTTCTACTCTTTGCGTTATCAAGTCGCCGGTGAATCCTTACGATCTCAATGAATGATTTCCATTATTATTCAAGCCATATTCTGGATACACTCCTTTCATTTTTAACAACCAGTGAACAACAGTTTCCTATTTCGCGTACTTTAACAAATGTATTCCACACACAATAGACGATACTCGACGTGGCGAGATTCCCTATCAGGCGTAATTTTGGCTAGCGAGTGCTCTGTGTATTCTTGACGAATATTTAAGCCGCCATCTTTGATTTTTACAGCAGCGGAAGACAGAGGAGAGGGAGAAATTTGTTTAAAGGGGGCGAGTGACAGTTCGCTCTGACTCTAAATCAAACAAATGGCCAGTCGAATAACGATAGAAAGCTTGTAACGTTAACTCGCTCAAATAAGACGCCTGCACTGTCTGCTAATGCTCAAGGGGATTTCTATTTACAATTTTTGCGATGATTCACACTTTATGCTTATAGCAGCACATGGTGTACACAACAAGTTACTCAGTTATAGGTAATACTGAAATAACAGGTGAAAAACAACCGCACAACCGTACCTGCTTTTCTTTTCTTTTCTTTTCTTTTTTTTTTTCAAATTAACTGCGTTACAATAGGAGACAGGACAGCCTTGTTTTTTAAGATATAACCAAGATGGTCTAAAGAATGTACCATAAGCTTGAAAATGCGTCATTTTGAAGTCTTCTCTGGGTGGCAAAAGCTAACGAGTGACGACGAAAGTGATCAATACTGAACGAAAATTGAGGAGGGGGAGGGGTGGGTAAGAATTAAAGCCATATGACAGCTGAAATGGCACTCAAAAACGACACTCAATGACAAGTCTTTGAAAAACTGCCTCAAGAGGATTTAATTTTACTATCTATAGTTTAGCCTCTCTGAGAGTTTATGGGTTCAACGAAAATCCCAACCTTTTCGATTGACTGTTTTCTCATGATTCAAACCGTACTTTTAATTTCATGCTTGTGTTTTAAAGACAGCTGTGCGCGCACAGTCAACTAGTTTGTCCAGTTTTTCATCCCAATAGAGATTAACTACTTTTACCGAAAGCAGCTATTCAGCTACGGCATCATTGGCTGTTTCTTGTCCCGCTTGAGTTCACGATTGTTCCGTGCGCCACCTCATAGAACCTTGCGGTCCTTTTGGCGGAGAGCGCAGAGGAGATACGAATTCTGGTGCCCTAAAAAGGTGTAAATGTTCGAAAAAGGCTAAGCTGTGAAGCACATTTAGTTGTTTTCAATCTAATGTTTTTCGTTACACTCAACGCTTTCAAAAAAGAGACTCAGAAAACATAGTTTGTCATATCAACTTAGGAAAGTTCGAGTACACAAAATTCGGCGCGGAATCTTTGAATTTCGCATCGCGTTTCACAACGTGCTTACCTGGATATTGCTTCGGAGTCATGCTCATCACGCGGTACAGTTTCTTCGTCCTCACTGGTTGATCCCTGTTGACATGCTAATCCGAGTATAAGAGCTGTCAGAGTTATGGCAAGGTCTGACGAACGGGACTGAGTAACCCGGCCGAATCCATTGAACACTCTGGGACTGTAACTCATAATACCTGCAAATCAAGGAGAGACTGCTAGTTTTCTAGCTTCAAACATAAACAGCAGAACCGATTTTTTTTCGCCGGCTATCCTAAACAGTCACCTCTACGAACTACAGTAAAATCAATTGTTCGAAATAGCGGGAAAGATAATTGATTCAGTAAGTTGATTGGTTAGGATGGCTGAGGAACCACGGGAAGGACAGAAATCACACAAACCTGATCTGTTAACTTGATCCACTCTTTGTGGGCTCGTGCCATCCACTGCACTTGCTCCTAATGACAGCGGTGACGATGAATAATCCCTTCTCTGTTCTTGCGCATCAGTCCGCCCAAATAATGCATTTTTATGTTCAGCTGCATGACAAATTGAAAGAACAAGAATTTGCCGCGATCATTACTCAAGAAGCAAACCTTGAATTCGATCACCCTTTACTCCAAGAATGCATTTTCCCATTACGTAGTTACAAGATCTCTAAAGTTTCTAAATGAAAAATCGTAAAATATTTAGCCCCAAAATAGTATCTCTAGTTCCTTAATAACTCTTTTCTTTTGTAAGAACCCTTTTTATAAGGGGGGTAAGTTTCTTAAGAAACTGTGGTGCTGCGTCGGTGGGAGGGTATAACAGGTAATTTAGTGTTAACAACTGAGTTGAAAACGTAAATTAGCCACCGTAAAGAGTTTAAAGGCTGACGTTTCAGGCGTCAGAGCGACTTCGTCAGAGAGACTTCCAATCGCTCTGACGAAGGGCTAACGCTCGAAACGTCAGCCTTTAAACTCTTTACGGTGGCCAAATTACGTTTTAAACTCACTAAATTAGCTTTTTTATGGGAACGTTCAAGCTGAGATTGACCAATTTTTTTAGATCATACACAAGCTGAGAATCAGTTAAGAATGTCTCCTTTTTTCAAATCTTTTCCTGTAAGAGGTATAAACTGAGGTAAAAGAAATATAAAACTGTGGCCTAACAGGACAATTAAACAACAACAATGTGGTTTTCTTATTGCACGACACACTTTGAGGACAACTCATTTCGCGGTCCAACTCAGTCTGCACTATTAATTAAGACCACGTTAGAAACGCTTCAGGCTGAAATCGCCAAAAAAAGGAATGTTCAGCCTCAGCTCCATAATTAGACGTTCTTATTAAAAAAGAAAAGTCTAGCACCTTACTGCAAAAGCCTGCACGTTCATTATAATCCCTAGCCCATATGATAATGTAAAATTGCTATAAAGTTATCAACCATTATCCTTCCCATAGCACGAAATATCTTTGCCAACCCACCTGCCTCAGCTCCAGTTTCTTCTTCTTCGGTAATAAAACTAAACATCCTCTGAATTTGAGCCGCTGCATCTTCTTGAGCCTTTAATTGGAAAAGAAACACTTAGTAACGTCACCATGACATTCCCCTACAGCGTTTACCACAACGCGTATGATAAGATGTATATTAAAAAGTGTCTGGCTCACAGGACCCAATATAGGAACTGTGCTAAGATTACGATTTAACCTGGAGGCAAAACGTATATATAAATTAATATCGCTCTCACTCCCCCCCCCCCCGGCTCTCCCACCTTCAGCACCAATGCATCATGATTAGTGCAAATTAAGACTTCTTACCTTCTTCATCTTAGCTTCATGCTCTCTTTCTTGTTTTTCTCGCTCCAGTCTTCGCTCCTTTTCTTGTTCAGCTCTCCGCTTTTCTTCACGCACGCATTTGAACTTGTGTGATAACAAGCGAGATTTGAGAACAGCCTGGAGTCTTGTTATTCCTTTCAAAATCTATGAGAAAATAGTTGAGGTCAGTCATTCGACGTAAGTTATGTTAGTTCCGAAATGCTATGGGTCTTTTCTTCTGGTGGGATATTATATCATATATTTACAACAGTTCCCTAGCCTCTAGCCTCGGGATGAGTTACTTTAACCCTGAGAAAAGGAAGTAAATTTATTCGCTCTGACGAAGGGATAACGCTCGAAACGTCAGCTTTAGAAACTCGTCCCGGTGCCCAATTTCAATTCTAAACTCAGATGATTAAACCACATTATCTCCCAACACTGAGAAGATGCACATATAACCCTTTCATTCCCAGTAGTGACCAAGACAGAATTTCTCCTTACAATATAAATACAATCTCAAATAGACAAGTGATGAGAATATGGAAAAATATCAATCAATGGTTGTCATTTGATTCAATACCAAATTCTCCACACTAAAATGATAAGCAATATATGGCAGAAAGTAAGGAGAATTACTAAAGAGACCATGAGAGTGAAAGAGTTAATAGAAGTTTAAGTATTTGAACAAAGTTATCAAAAGAAGGTGGGTCTATAACTTTAACGAATAGGAAAGGCAGGACAAGTATGCTATTACACCAAATTGGAAATGAATGAAACATATTGTTTCGCGACAATTATACAGCATGACATAAGCATTGGAAGGAAGGACAAAAAACGGAAAACAATAAAATTTTCTGACGACACACAGTCAAGATACAAAGAGAGAAGGGTTGAGATCCTGGAATGTGGTGCGGACAACAGCATCTGAATGAGAGGAGAGCAGAAACTTTGCACAGGCCTCATATGCTGCTACCACCAGGCAAACAGTTGATCAGTAACAGGTGACCCAGGAAAACTTGAAAGATAGTAGGTATGTTAATTTTGAAAGCATACTTAGTTTGTACAGAAATGCTTTTGGGCTGCATTTACACTAGTAAGTAGCCCTTGACATTTTTATTGGCATGTCAGATTGTAAACAGGGAGATTCTTCAATGATAAGATATTTTTTTAATAAGATTATCAAAGGATTAATCCTGCAACACCAAGTGATCCACCACTAACATTATAATTAAAAAATGTTTCTTTCCACTTGCCAAAGAAATCCTTACAGTCTGAAAATGGCCGGTAAAATAAATTGACCATCATTAATTACTATTAATCAAGAGAAAATAATGGGACAGCATTATTGTCTTTTGCATCAATGGATCATATACCTGAAGATATGCTTTCTTATCACGGTATCCCTTCCAAATCTTTTGGATTAACACTGCTGCACATGTCTGTTTTTGACGTTTTTTGTGACGTAGGAACCTCTTCGTTGCTCTTTGAAGGACAACCACTGCATTTGTAAGCAAAGAATCACGGGTGCGTTCAAGTAAATTTCCATGATGATCCTGTTAAATGTCAGATAAATAACTAAGGAAAATTTTGTCTTCTGTTTTCAAGTCTGCTATCAACGAGACATCTGCCCAGTCTCACCTAAACTGCCCTACTAAAATTTAAATTAACATTTCTTGGTCAACTAGAGGAAGGAAAGTTCTTACACAAACCCAATATTACAACAACCAAATACAGTTTGACTTCTCGGCAATGATTTGACATCCATAGTGGATATTTTAGGAAATTAATACCTATTGACTTTGTGCCGGTCTGAATTGGTGGTTGAATTTCCATATAACAGACAGCTTGCAAATATTTGTTTGTTCTTCCTTTACATTCACAGCATGTAAATTTTTGGATTACCTTTTGGGCTCTAATAAAGCTACCAGACAGGAAAAATATTTTTGACGGGCAGAAGCTTTCATAAGATGGATTGAAAAAATTACTGAGTTAAATGGCATCGCAGAAAGTATTTAATTTGCCCACCTTCAAAAAAATCATTCTATGCCCAATTGTCCATTCCACATCCAAAAGGAGCTGTTTTGCTAGAGCTTCAGACATTTCTTTATGGCTCATCCATGGTATCTTCAAGTCTTTCATAATGATGTGATATCTGTTTACAAATTCTTGAAAAGTGTAACGAATGGCAAACCCAGCCTTGCGAATCCTGTAAGGTATGAAAGGAATTTTTGATCAAATACAACGTGTTTTGGCACAAAGAAGTTCAGATGAGACTTCGATCGCTTTCAAGCTGTCTCGCTTGTTGTAAGACAAAGGATTCTATGCAACACATCACCTGGAATTCGGTCTTAAAGTTGTTGATGCTGGTCTAGATATAGGCGTCAGTGAACCCGCCATATTGAAAATATAGACGCGTGGAAGTCTGGGACTAACTACGGCCGAAAATCTTAAACCCAGTACCTCTTACGCCTACGGTTTTGACATTGCACAACATTCCAGCTTTAATAGGATTCTTCAAGCGCCGAAGTTCTCGTTTAATTCCCGGCTATCCTGATGATTAATTAAAAAGAAAGGACTTTTCCACCGAGTGTATTTGTTAAAAGATCTGGTTCATTGGCAATGTACATTGCAATGTGGACGACGTCGCAATACTTCCATCTAAGTTTAATGACCTGCGCGAGAAGACTGGGAGATTGACGGAAGAAGCGGCCATAGTGGGCCTAAAACTTAATACAAGAAAGTGCAAGACACTGAGGACTGAGTTTTCAAGGAACAGGGAGAGCATTCTGGTGAATGGTGAAGAAGTGGAAGGTGTCGAGGAGTTTGCGTATCTTGGAGCTATTGTAGACAAGGAAGGTGGAGGAACAGACTGCAGAAGGCACGAGGTGCATTCCAGAGGCTATGGAAGGTGTGGGCAGCCAGAGGAATAGGAAGAAGAGCCAAGATACGCCTATTCAAGACTTTAGTCCGACCGGTTCTACTATATGGTTGTGTAACATGGAAGATCACAAAGACCGATGAAAGAAAACTGAACAGTTTCCAAAGCCAGTGCCTGAGACGGATAATGAGGATTAGATGGCAGCAAAGAACGAAAAACAACAGAGTAGCTGAAAAGCAAATATCAATGAAAAGAAGAAGGTGGAATTGGTTAGGACACGTACCCAGGAGAGAGGGTGTGAACGACTGTCTACGGTATTGGGGCGGACACAAGAGGGTTGAAGGGCGAGATAGAGACCAAAGACTACTTGGAGAAGAGCTGTCGAAAGAGAGAGAGGGGCAAGGCGGGGTGGCAGAGCCGGAATGCGGCCAAGGCGGTGGCACACAACAGGGGGGGTTGGGCGGACAATATGATGGCCTTATGCGCCTACAGGCGCAACGAGCGATGATGATGATGATGAGAACATTGGCAATGTATCACCTGCTTCGTTTTTCTGTACGTGAATACGTGAGCTTTAGCCAGGCTTGTTTGTTCAATGTCTGCTGTTGAGTTAGTGTGGCACTCCACCTCGTCCAGTGAAGAGAGTAACAAATTTACACCATTATCCACATTTTTTTTCTGTGCGCATTTAAATCACATAAATTGTCCATCCCCTTTGTGGCAACCTTTGCAATGGCGCACACTATCATCATTAACACTTACTTGACTGTCTCTAACATCCCTGAATATTTTAGCTGTTGCCAGCACAGATAACGATCAAATATCTGCGAAGAAAGAAAACATTTCGAGTTCTTCAACACTTACCAAGTTACGTTTATCTCAAGCCTTTTCAGATCTCTCCATAAATGTAACGTCAGTTTCAAGTTAAAAATGAAAGGGTTTGTCGGGTTGGCAATGAAATATCTCATCATTTTCCAAATTTCTCCTCTGGAGACTGATTATAGCTCTATATTCATAAGGAGATTCTCTTTTGGCTAGCTGTACCCATGGAAGAGGATACGATATAGCTTAATCTTTTTCCCGTCTAAATCTTTCCAGAAGATAATCTACAGCTTGATCTCCCCTTACTCTTTTATTTCTCTGAAAATGCAACATAGGTAAATGAATTCGCTTATCTACGTCTATCCAACTGTAACCAACGTTAGATGACATTCATAGAAAAAAAAGCGATGAAATGACGTACCATGGGTTTTTTAAGCTCATTAGGTTTGATGCAGCGAACAAAGGAAGGCTCGCAGCTCAGCAACATCTTCATTAACACATCAAGAGATCTCCTAAACTGCGCGCTTAGTGTTGGTGACCTTTTTCTCGTCTCTTCGCCCTGGAAATTAAAGAGATTGAAATAATGCGGCCCGATGTTTATTGGAACGTTGGTGCACTCAGTTAAAATTGTACATTTTCCCTTAGAGGACTGCTTGAAGGTCTTGTCACATTCACTATTAGGGACCTTAAGCAAACCACGACGGCGACGGCAAGGAGGACATGGAAAATCAAAAGATATAATTGGCAGAACAATTGCTCAGCATGTGCATTTTAAAACTTTGTACATTTCTTAGCCTCCCCATGCAAAGCAACAACGTGAAATCACCTCAATTTGCGTCGACTGCGAACTGAAACTGCGACGGAAAATTATTTTAATTTCCATTTGGAATTCAACGCTTCTTTTATACGTTGTACTGGAGTTGAGGTGTGGCGCCGTATGAGACGGTAAACAAATGCAGTCATTTTCAAAATTCTAATTAAAGGCAGAAATTCATTTTTTTAATCGAGTCTTCCTTGGCGTTGCTGTCCTGACTGCTTAAGGACCCTATTAATATAACGAGAGTGAAGTTTATTTCCCTTAGCCGACGCAGAGGCGCAAGAGGATCCCAATTCTCAACTTAAGGAAATTTCAGGTTAAGTACCTCTGCCCAGTCCAACAACTTCAACACTGGCAGAGGACAAATATGACAAAAAAATGGTTGGAGCACTAAGCCGTAATTTCGCCATATTTAGAGACCTGTGGTTTGCGGTTAGGCGTTTGCAGTTTCAGGTTACCAGTGTTTCTAATTTTACCAAGGCGATCGACCTGCTTGTGAAACGTGAAGAATTGTGGGTAGCTTGGTCAACAAAGATGGCTGCTTCTGCTGCTTGATTTTCCAATCTTACGTCCATTTTATGAACTGACAATCCTACGCTTTCAGGCGAAATTACGATGATGTCATGACAGTTCTCATATCATACACATGTACGAGCCTCAAACTTCAAGTGCAACCACATGACCGAGGTCACTTGACATCTTCAGGTTTGCCGTGAAATCGTGGATATCTGGTCTCTATTAACTTATCTTCAACGAACTCCAAAGCCGTTGGGCGTAGGCTAAGGAATATTTCCACCAATAAACTAATGAGTATTCAGACTCGTAACCAAAACTTCTAAGCTTACCATTGCCATCTCTTTGGCAAACATGTTAAAAAGGAAGTCCATTTTACTCTCACAAATAAGTCCAACAAGGTCTGCGCTGAAAGTGTCTCTGTTCTTGTCGAGAATTCCTTCAAGAAATCAAGAAAACAGGCAGTGTAACACGACTCGACTTAAAGTAATGGTTTAAGCATTATTTTGTTTTGCGTTTTTCAGTCGAGAAGAGGCAAACGCGAGACAAGCAGGAACCTATCTTGTCTCCTCATTCGTCCGCGTCCTGCTGAATAATTCATGAAAAAAAAAACAAAAACAACAACAACAAATATATTAAAGGGGCCGTTATTATGCAGAAGGTTGACCTATGCAGTTATTACCACAACCTACCTCTGACGTTATACTCAATCGTTCCCGCGAAGTGCACCACACCAAATGATGCCCTTGAAAGCGACTTCGACTTGACGAAACAACTGCTGTTACCGTGCTGTGAGGTGATTTTTTGTAGAAATGATTCGTCGCTTCCCTAACAGAGAAACAAACGATAAAGATGGTTTAATGCTGTAAAAGAACAACCAATGAAGGAAAGTGCTTTATTAGCTCATTCAACTTGAAGAAAATATCTCTTTCTTACCTGAGGAAATCTACTCTCCTCGTCCATGAGTGCAAAACAGTTCAGCGGTTTCTGTGCCAGAGTTTCTACGACTTCTTGGTTATCCACAAAATCCACAGCACTCCACTCCAGGCCCTCACGACTGTACTCAGCCTAGTTCGCCAAATGGATTGGTTAGAGAACATTCTTAATGTTGGAGAATGTAATAGCCTGTTTAATACTTGTATGGTAAATCTTCATGGTATTACAATAAAGCTGCATTTAATAATAAGTAACGGCCTCTCCCCCTCACCTGCTCCATTTTAAACACGTGATCAACGAAAAAGCTGTGAAGTTTCTCGTTGGCGTAATTAATGCACAATTGTTCAAAACTAGATAAAGAGAAAAAAAATATGTAGTCAGTTCTAGGGCCAGGCTATTCGAGGCAGGTCTATAGACTCTTTCCCCAATTAGAAGTGTTTATCAGCAGCCAAATCATTATTGACCACTCCTGGTTAAATCTGAAAAAAATACTGTGTGATAATTGATGTAAATTTGGTTTGTGTTAAGTCGAAGTCTCACCTATTAACGTTAAAGTTTTCAAAGCCAAAGATGTCGAGAACACCAAGAGAAGTACAACCTTGCGAATCCACCTTTGATAAAGACGAAAAAGCACGATTCTGAGTATGAGCTTAGTAGCTAATCAAGGACCAAAAGCTGTTGCAATAATAACGAAGTCCACATTAAATGTCCAAAGAAACTTACGGCAGGTTTACTTATGGAAGCGTTGATTTTGCTGACAATCCAGATGAAAAGGCGGCCATACATTCCTTTCACAAATGCATCCCTGATGTGCTTAGCACTTTCCTCTGCGATTGGAGAGTAGATCAGCTCTCCCGAAGCATAAGTTGATTTACTTGTAAATGCCTCGTGAATTCGCTCTGAAGGAATCTGTTTTGCAACAGGAATTAAGACTTTTAGTTTACATGAATGAATCACCGTCGGCAGGTGTAAGATATACAGTCAATATAGGTAAAGATGAATGATAGCTCTAATTAAAATTGGTTTGGATTATGATAAGCACAGAATACGAGTTAAAGACTTCAGTTCTTTAGTTGACCTGTTACAGAAATCACGTTGACAGCTGGCTATGTGTTTCTCAGAATTATGTTAACTCCAAGTCTAACTGTATGATTCTTGTTTTTGATTGGTGTCAGCGTGCACGTGCGAGTGTGCCAACACTCCTGGCGTAAATGCATCGTGCCACTCGTTCATTGGTTTTAAGGGTGCGCGCATTGTCCTTTTCATTTCGTGTGCATCTTGCAAGCTATTGCGTTGTGTGAAAGTTGGAGACGACTATTCACATGATTTCTCATCGGTAGTTATCAGATTTATGCCTTTAAAAATCTGTTGCTCTTTCTTAATATTCATATCCTTCCATGCGGTCACTGCCGGCTATTTAAATTATCTGTACAGATCACGCAGTTCTCATTATGGAATTAACAAGAATAAACTGCTAACTGACCTGTAATAATTCCGCTACTGACTCGACACTGTCATCATTTAAAATCGCACAGGCTTCCATATTATCCTGGATCAAGGCTGTGAATTTAGAGACGGAAGAGCAATGAATGGAAAGCAAACTAGGGAAAATATCATTACCTTTGTCACGCTATGAAAATACACTCTTGTTGCTCAATACCTTAATATATTTATGGGATATGCAAAGATCTGACCATGATCTGAGAAGCGTAAAATAAATGACTTTGAAACCGGGTTAAGTCTGAAACTTTACCGCTAGCAATAAAACTCTAGCTCATATCATCACACAGGGTTTTAACATGACCGGTGTGGGATTTTAGTGCGTAGTGAATTGTGGCAGTTTCACTTACGAGATGAGAAAACCTGAATTCCAAAAAAAGCATAGTACAACAAGAAATCTTTTAGGTGGAATGTGTCAGCCGTGAAAAGAGAGCAAACCTTGCCTTGAAAGCGTATATTTCCAAGATGTAAAATGGCAGCTAAAAGCGTGAATATTGTCCAGTGTTCTTCTTCAGAAAACATCAAAACCTGCCAAATAAATGTCGGTGTCGAACTGAATAAGTTCATTGTTCTTCATAATCAGTAACCCAGAATGAAATCCAAAAATGGAAAAAAAAGTTTCATAGCTTTAATCGAAAATGTTGGAAAATCTCGGAAAAGAGTAACTTTTAACCTCTTTGTCTACAAATTTAATTGACTATGCAGCCTGTCAATAAGGAAAATATAATTTTTGTTGATCATGCGCTCTGAAAGAGGACATCCAGCTCAGTATTTCGGTACCTTCATTGCTCGCCGGATGTTAAGAAACTCATGTGCATCATCCATTCCTTCGCAAACAAAACAGTTCCCCTGGGAGAGGTAGTGATAATCTTTTGCTTCCGTGAGATGAAGTTTATGTTTTTCCTTATCACTCAGTCCGGCCAGCAGACGATAAAAAATATGATAGTTTCGTTCATCGGGCATCTAAACAGTAGAAAACACAAAAAGGAGTTGTAACAGACGACAAAAGAAATTTATCTTATCGTTTCGTCGCTGAAAACATTTGGATCTCTCCCCTACCTGATTTACAATCCTTGATTTTTCCAAGAGGTACTGTTCAATTCTTGCTCCTTCAATAACAGCATGTCTGTTAAAATAGATATTGATATATTTTCCAAACCGACTGGAGTTGTCGTTTCTCACAGTCTTTGCGTTACCAAAAGCTGAAAACAACGAAAAATGAACAAACAGGTTAAAAAAAGTTCCTAACACTAAACGTATTTAAAATCAGAGCACGTTATTCTCCCAATCGCTGTAAGTGATGATGAAATAATTACGAACTGCAATGGGCTCCTGACTGCAATAAACACAGTTGAGCCGAGTCAAGCCGGGCATTTGCGCGAGCATGCTCAGGCTATAAGATAACAAGAGGACACGCTGCGAATGGTTTGGCTCCCCTAAAATTCCCCTCCGATTTTTTTACTCCGCCGAGAGATTTACCGAGTTAATCAGCTATTTGTCTAAACAGAAACACCTCCAAGCGATCTGGAGAGTAAGTGATGCCCTCGTTTCCCGTCTGCAAAGGATTAGGAGAGCAAGACCTCTGCGAATGAGATTGAATGTATGTAGACTATAAAGTCGATGTTCATTACCCTCTAGGATTGGATTCGCGTCCAATATCTGTTGATCCAGCGTCGTGTGTTGGCCACCCACAACTGTCAAGTAACGAAGGATTAGCTTTGTAGATTCAGTTTTGCCGGCGCCACTTTCACCACTAAAAGACAAGGCATAAGAATTATAAAAATCAAAAACTTATTTTGCATCCTTATTTAAGGTGATGTTTATTTGCATTCGTAAACGGTAAAATGTATAACAAAGTCCTCAGGGCATTTTGTCTCATCTGAAGTACACCCGATGCAGTTCCATTTTTTTAATCCATTAATACGAAATAGGCTCGACGTCACTGATTAAAAGATAGATTTTTCTCGTCAGAGACAAGAAAACAAACCAGCTCAAGGTAACATCCTTCTCTATGATATACTCTCCTCTCCGGTTTTTCGGTTGGATGCACGATAAAAGGTAGTACTGTCAAAAGTAAGGGTTTAGGCTCTGTAGACTTTGTCGAATTTCTTTTTATACCCTCAGAAATAACGATATTTATCTTAACTGCAAAAATAATTTTTTATTAATTACAACGAGGAAAATCCACTTGCAAAGGTGGCAGAAAAGCGTTTTCGAGTTCTCCCGAAATGCGTCATCGTCATCATCATTGTCATCGTCATCGTTATCATCATCATCATCATCATTATCACATAACTTAGCGGAAGGAGTTCAAAAACACACATACCTTATAATTATACTCTGGTTGTGAAGTCTCCTCTTCATGGAGGTGAACGCATGCTGTGCTGTGGAGAATATATGAGGCGGCAGCTCAGTGATATCTGTTTGCTGACTGTACATATCAATCTGCTGACGACCATATATCTGGTACAACTGATATGGATTGACTGCTACGAGTACCATGCCGATATGCGTCTGCAAACGTAGAATAGAAACCTTTCTTTTCAAATAAATTCTAAATTTTAATTTCTTTTAAAGTGGGCATCGTAACACTTAAATCAGCCAGTCAGAAACAAGGTTTATATCTCGAAGAGTTAATCAGAATTCGAAGGTCAACCAAAAGGACGGTAAACGACCTTTGGAGCAAAAGAGTTTTTAGAAGCAAACTCGTGATCAGTTTTTTTCTTGCGTTTGATTGGTTGAGAGAGCAGTGCAGGTCATATTTTCCGGACCAGTCATGACGCGTATAGTGACGCAAAAAAAGTGTTTCGCGAGGTTACCCTTGAAGTTATGTCGGTTTAAGATTTCATTCCTGGTCGGCAATCTTCTTGCTTCTTTTGGCCAGATCAAGAGATTATAAATAGTTTATAATCCCTTGCTCAAGATCCCTGGATATAACATGTTTACGGTGTAAACGCAAGGTCCTTAAAACGTACGTAAATTTTGTGGCCGTGGTATCTGATAAACAAATTCCTCAGAATTGCCGCTTCAGTGAGCTCTCCAAGTTGAATCATATCATCCACTCCACAAATGCAGCTTGGATGCATTGACTGCACGTCACTCAAAGAAGATCCGCCCACAAATCGTTCCTGCAAGAAATGAAAGACAATAAAAACTGTTTTAAATAACTGATGGTTCTAAAGTTATATAATAGGCGACAGTTTCTTTCATACCTCTCCTTGGTCGTCTGTGAGCAACATTCCAAGTCCATCCACTGATTTCACAACTGCGCCGATAGGGACATTAAAGTCCTTCACGTCTTTTATAGCAAGCCACACGTGGTCTCCCTGTGCAAGAAAACGTATACATCAGCTGGAAGTTGCTTTGCTGTTCGAAATTGATCGCCCGATAAAATTTGCAATATCAAATTGATATTCAGTTGAATGATGAATGATACTCACCTTGGAGTAGAAGGCCATAATGGGGATTGTCAGAAACTGTAAGTGTGATGTAAAGAAACCACGCTCGCCTCACTACAAATTTAAGGATACGACTTTTGTCAACTTACATGCAACACTGACCAACCAGAATAATCCTCACGGCTGGATCCTTTGTTAGTTAAAGAGCTCTTTAGGGACATACAGTAATTACTTTTAATACAAATCAGGTAAAGTTTTCATACGCCTACGGGTAGCTTGAGTGCTACTCTAGGTGGATCACTCGTTAAAATTAAAACTATTACAAACTCGTTAAAAAAATGGCTGTATTTATTGCTAATAGGACAACTTCAATTTCACAGATAAATATAATATGGGAACTAGAGCTACAAAGTTAACGAAGGACTAACTAAGGATATAACATGTTGAAAACTACAAAAGTTACAAGAATTAAAACGGAATCTTAGAAAAGCTTAAACTTTTGAATGGGTGAGTGTCAATGTAACCGTTCCCCTTTTGGTTCATTGAGCCTGATGGACTGAAAGACGGACAGACTATATTACGACCCATCGACTTCGATCGATCGACTGAACGACTGACCGCATCTGACATAATAGCCTGACATTTGCTATCAATCTGGAGCAACCATTTGGGCTATTTGAACATTAAAGTGACCATTGACTGACCGCTTGCTAGACCTGATCAACTAGATTCATCGAGGGCTGAAATGACAATTGATGATAAACAGTAAATTACTAACAGAATGATTTTAAACTTAAGTAGTGCACTTAAATGTTTGTTTTAAAAACATCATCAAGACCAATATTTACAAGAGTAGTTTCACGGATGTTGGTGTGTTGAAAAAAAATTTCGTCAGATTTTTTCTAGATTCGTCCATACATTTCCATAAACGTCTTAACTTTCCCATATTCAGTTGTCTATTGTTTCTAAATTTATCTGTTCTACAGAGTTAATCAATTTATTATGATTGACAGCTCCCCATGGTAAATATCACTTTCCCGCGAAATCGCTCAGCTGTAAAACACAAACATTGGAAAAGCTAAAATAACATGGAGGTGTTTTTCCTTGTGATTGTATTGAATCATTGGAATTTCTCAATATGAAAAACTATGAATTTTGCAAAATAAAACGACATGTTCGAGGTGTTAATTTAAATTATCCGTCATGACTTTCCGTGAGGTCGCATTAATATTAATTGTTTTAATTTGTAATCGGCCCTCAGTCAAATTGCATCCGAATCTGTTATTATCGATTCAAACCAATTTTTTGGTAAAGAAAAACATGTGAAAACAAAGCAATATTTCGTTACATCTTTTAAAGAATAAACGACGCATACGCCCGAGGCTGGGAGGAATTGACAAATGTTTGAATTTTTAGGATCTGTATGCACCACTAAAATGCTTAATGACCTAGCTAAATTGACTGCAACTCACATTCACTGCCTTGTACATTAAGATTATGTTTTGTTAATGGCAAACCATTACATCGAATATTTCTTTACTCAAAGCAAAAGTTATGAAAACCGATCGATGTATTAATAAAAGTTTAATATCATAACGCATATTTACGCCACGAGAACTTCCAACCGGCTTTATTCGCTCGCTTAGATTATTCTAGAATTGACTACTACTTCTACATCACGCGAAATACCGAATAATTCGGGGCAAATTTTAAAACAATCCTTTGCTTAAAATTGAAAATCAGCGACGAATCTAACTTCGGATCGATCTTCGTTGGGAAAATACCAAAATTCGCTTAATGGCACAGATATCCCAGCGATTAGTTTTAACTTTCAGAGGCTCAAAGATAAACAGACTGATTTCCACAGTTACACGTACCTGTAAAGCTATGCAGCTCTGACAGCCGTGGTATGAAAGGAAAAATTGCAACTTGCATCAAACTTTTACCATCATTTCCTTCAAAAGTAACGCCTTGATCAAAGTGATAAGACCATAGATACAACTTGGCTAATTTTTATACCAGTTCGCCAATGTTCGCGTTACCGTTCCTCTTAATTTGAATATCAGCCATAAACAATGAGCGAATGACAAAGGCAATCGCCAACCAAACAACAGACTTGCCCAAACGTCACCTTGAATAAATCATCGGGATTTTGAACTCTTATGCATATTTTATATGAATTGTTAACATTCAAGCCTATAGTTACAAGCTTCTTTCAAGCGTGTTTTGAGCAATTTTTTTGGTCTAAAATTTTTCGATGATCATTATTGAGAAGAATATTATTCAGTGTTCATGACAACATATTTGTCCTTGTATCCACTTAACAATTATTTTTTCTTTTCGTAAGCTGCTGCTGCCTTTCTTGTCATCGTTCTTTTAATAATTTTTTTTCTTGGCTTTCCAGGTGCCTGTTTAGTTAATAGCACCGGAAGTGGAAAATTATCGCATTTAGATATGCTCTGTCATACTAAAATCATTTCGAGTGAGCGTAATATCCTATGCAGAAAATATTTCCAAGATTTGTCGTCTATTTCAGAAGGAAACCTTCTTACAGTAAGATGAAAAACACTTCGTTGCTGCCAAGCTCTGTATGGCAAGTTACTAGGGAAAAAGAAAAACAAAGCAAGCTAAAACTGAATGGACTATTGAACTGAACGGAAGTATTGCTATGATCGGAGCTGGGGTGACTGTTGGCTGAGAAACACAAAATTGTCTCTCCCCCTGTGTCCAGCGTTCTTCGTTTTTTTCCCAAAAGAAAGGCGAAACGCCTGTTACATTTCGGTTTGGCACTCAGATTTTTAGGAAGCCTTTCCTGAAAAACGGTGAACTATGCTTCAAAGTTTTCATATCTGATACTTTATGCCAGCAGTGGTAAAGCCTTCGAAATAGAGAGGTCTCTGGAATAAAAATTGAATAAAATTGTCTCTGAATCATACCTTTCAAAAGATGGCTAGCCACGAAAGGTTTAAAGAATAACTAAAAGGGGTGTGGGACGCAGACTTCCCCCTGATGTTTGGTTGAGCCCCCTGACTCCCCCCTGATGTTTAGTTGAACCCCCAGAATCGGTGGCTCTTGGGAATGTAACGATGTCACATGACCTCAACTGAAAGCTAACTCATTACAAGGGGTGATTAACCTGTTTTTAAAAGAACCAAATTTAATAATTTACAGAAAAGAGCCAGACGTCGAGACTCACTGCAATGGCCGACAGGATGAAGAGATCAGTTAGAAATTGTGCCCCTATCATAATACCACACAACTTCAGTCTGCCTTCGCCATTTCCTCATTTATGCTCTTTAATTGAAGCTGTCTTTGAATTATTTCGAAAAGATTAATTTTCTGCCTTTTAACTAGGTACAGTTGTATAGGTCAAGTTTTCATCAGAAAACAATAGGTCTCATCTTTACGTAACCACTTAACGACTATTGGTATAAATAAAATAGCATTCTATCACAAATGCTGCGATCTGATTGGCTGCGTTACTTGCTATCTATTCTGTGATAGCTTGTGAGTAGCCTCATATTGTTTGGCTGCGGGAAAATGAAAAGCATTGGACTGAAAAATAAACACTACAACAGATTATTTGCTCTCGATTGCTACGTGTAATAATTGATTAGGGCTTTACCCTCAATAGCTATTACAAAAGAAATCTCAACCTCATAATCTGATTGTTAACCAGAGGTTATTATAACAAAAATTTTTCACTCCTTTCTACAGCTGTTTAGTAACTAAAACAAACACTTTTATACTGTCTGTGTCCGCAGTGTTATTTAATTAGCTTTTCAAAGCTTCACAGCAAAGTAGCTTGGGCATAAACTGATCCATGAACCAAGTTTATATTCGAGCCCTGATGATTGCTTGCTTGAGCACCTGTTCAAAAAAAGAAACACAGGTCAACTTACTATTAGCCGAAAAATGGAAATGGTTTTCGGCGATTTCATGGGAGCCAGCGAAAACTCATTCCAGGCAAAAGCAAAGGTGTGTCGTTCGCGGGAGAAACGCGAAAAAAAATTACAACGTCTTGCAATTTTGAGTAATTTCCACAGCTCGCCTCTCTTGTTTAACGGTTTGCAGGCGCGCTTTCTCCTGCTCCTCAAGGAAAACAAAAAAAATCCGCTTCTGCAGGCCATTCTTCGTAGTCGCTGAGTATTTAAGAAAATACACCATCCAAATTTAACCACCTGGCAAAATCCATCGGGAGCAAAAAGGACAAAACATCGATCAATCTGTCTGGTTCAAATCTCGACTCATTAACGTTACTTTGCCGGTTTGAAAACACATCATTATCTTCGTATGCTGCACAAAAACCTAAACACAGGTGCGATTTGGATTAATGTTGAACAATGTTCAAATCATAACTAAGACAAACCACGCTCAAAATTTACCATCACCCTCTTCTTTTTCGTAAACGACACTTTGTACGATGCATATCCTTGCAGTATGCCTGGCGCGAGTCACCTATGAACCTAGGGATGGCTGAGTTCACCATAGAGTCTCTGTGGGTCAGTGGTAGAGTATCACAGCCGGTAAGAGGAAGGCCTGATGTTCGACTCCTCAGTGGGGTTCAGATCTTTTCTTTGTCTTATCTTTGTCTTATCTTTGTCTTTATTTCTTATCTCCAAAGCAGGTCAACTACCCTGAAAAAGTGTAAGAGCTGCCTTTTCATAGTACGTACCACAATTCAAGGGCACTTTCCTGTTTGAGGCTCGCCTAGCAGGTCCCTGGACATTGCTTCGCTGAGGGCCCGCATAATTAGCCGTATGTGGTCCGTGTGGCTGGATCCACTCAGGCCTTTCGGAAAAGAAAACGGAAAACGATTTACGATTTGTTCTCAAGCCATGCCTACTCTGAACAAGTAAACGGAGCTTCGAGCTAAATATTTTGCAATTATTCATCAAACTTGACTTAACACCAGAGAGCAAATTTCAATTGGGTGTCAAAAGTAATCTGGGCTTGCCTTTGTTTTTCTTTACTTCACTCTGTAATTGGCTCACAAAACTAACGTCATTAGGTCCGTCTGTTATTTTACTCTCCTGAAATCGGCTGTAGTGATATTAACAGGACTTTGTTTCACGATACTCGGTTGAATTGCGCTCTCAACATTAACCGATAAAAATGTTACAATTTGCTTCAATGTATATGACCACCGAGCACAGGTCGCCAAACTAGCCACTTTCGCTGCAAATTAAGTCACCAGAAAGTTTGCTATCCGCTATGGCGACTCAAACGATCGCAGATTACAGCGCTGAGTACTTACAGCAGCATCTGTGGGTTAGGTCCCTGTGCATTTGCAGGTTTAGGTCCACTGGGCACACAACGAAGGGGAGAGTGGTAGACCTTCGGTCTAAAAGTGAGAAAAAAAAAACAAATAAACAAACAAAACGAAGTTGGAAGCGAATAAGACTAAGAGGACGTATCAAATAGTGTGTTCTTGTTTGTCGTGAGCATTTATTTGAAAGAGTTCGTGACACCAGTGAGTTTAATAGGGTAAATCTTGTAATTGAGCTCACTCCGTGAGACATTTTTCCTCCCTTGCGGCTGCAAGCCCCAGTACCATTTTGACTGCTTAACAACGAAGTAATAACAGGCCCGAGTTTTAAGTGGGATTATATAAGTTAGAAGCTTGCGACAAATAGTGACAGGCAGAGAAACTACCATCAGCTCAAAATAGAATACAACTTATAATATTAACACGAAAAGACAGAAAACACAAAAGAGATGATGAAACACCAAGAAAGGACAAAGACGGTTAGAGGTAGCGAAGGGCTGTCAACAACAAACTTAAAGTAACCCCTGACGGTTTATTTAATTTGACTCTAAAATATTTGCTACATGCTCGATATGTGAAATGTTCTCAAATCAACACAAATTTATTTAAGATTAAAATGCTTTGAATAAACTGAACGTTTTTAACTGTCTAAACTACTCAAAAACCGGAAACAAAAAGTTCACTTCTCGGTAAGAGAGCGTGATCAAGTCACGCCAAAAACTCGTTGTTTGCTGCTGTGTTTCCGGATTTCTCTCAATATAAACTGACCACGTTCACCGGCTTGGACAATAGCAGAGACACGGCGCAAATAATCTATCTACTCCACGCACCTTTTCAGAAATAACTGATAGTTAAAACTCTCCTTATTTAGATAGACATATTCAATTGCACCCTTAATTTAGACGATCGTCTGAAAGCAGCTTTGTCTGTATTTTAAATCCAGTTGACAAATCCGAACTCTTTCAATCAAATTTTCATCTTATATATTAAAACTGGGATACAAAGCGCCTGATCTTCCAGCGTTTTAAAAGGGTCTCCGAAGTCGAGGTCAAGCAAATTTTGTTTACAAAGTTGACAAGAGCTTCGTGTTCAATAAATCGCGCTTATATAAAAAGCACAATTATGAAATAGTAATTATCTTCTGATTACAGGCCTTCGAGGGTTTGGGTCTTTTAAAAAGTCCCAAGGTTCAACTGGAAGTTGTAAATTTAACACTAATCAACGTTTGACATGTCCCCGCCACTGATCGCTGATAGGATTTCTGATCAAGAGTTTTCCCTACGTTAAAGCAGCATCTCGCAACGAGCACTTGTACAAGAAACGATTTATACACATGAAAGTCATATCTTACTGTTAGGCTTGTGCAATTAGATTTATCACAAAAATCACCCAAAATAATTCATCACGCGCATAAATGAGGCATTGGGCATTATCTCAATAAACCAATGCAAATATAAATAGGAAATACAACGTAAATATGATTCGCTTACTGGGCTTGAGTTGACCATGCTGCTCCCCCCGGACTTTTCCTTGACTGCCCACCAGGTCCAGGTACTAAAGTTGAGGATACCTTCACCTTGGCAGGAGCAGGCGATGGTGGCTTGACTTCTGGCTGGGGTGCGGGCAAAGTGGGTGTGGCCTTGACATGAAGCTCCTCACTGGGGGATTTGGTCTTAGTTGCAGCTTTACCCTTGTTTTTATTGAGTTGTTCAGTTGACGAGGCAGCTGCAATAGATGTTCCACTACTGTTGGTGGCTGTTGATTTAGTTTCTG